GAAGGGTGGAGGCATACTGGTTCCTTAATTTCTACCTTCCTAGAAGAGGAAAAAGCTACAATAGCTAAAATATGCCTATGTCAAAAAACAATTCAAGAATTCCATTGATGTCCCATGATCTAGCTCAGCCCATTCCAGAGTGCACAGATGGAAGCTCACATGTGGATTAAAGCTCTTTTGCAGTGCATTCCCAGAATCTTAATGAAACTCCTCTCAAGATGCGAATATTAATCTATGTTCCTTCTGGCCTGTTCTTCATCAGGAGTAAAATTCTGCCCTCAGACTTTATTAATGATTCTGCCGATGACACATGAGATGAAACAAAGCACAACTCATTCCAAGAAAACCCAGCATTTACTTATCTAGGCTAAGAGAAACATTAAAATTGGCGATGACAGCTAGTTCTGTTAGAAAATTAATGATATGAGGTTCAAAGTACTGATTGCATATCCATAAGAGGTTTCATGTTCAAAGGGGAACGTTTGATTGAACTGAGTTTATATTTAGAAAGATGGGATTTGTTTCTTTCAGGCTCTATGTTAGATTTTGATTAATTTCTTCTAAATGCATTTTGCATTTTTTTTTCAGCAATACTTTGTATACTTTTGTACTTCACTTTAGAAAAACCCATAAACTTAACATTTAAAAGGCAAAAACCACATGTTTTAAGACCTGACTGAGCAAACTGGACCATTAATAGCCGGAAATTTTGCTTTCCCCTATTTTAAATTGAACTGAAAACACTTTAATTGTTCGTGAACCTTTGTGTATGTATTTTGGTGTTCACAGTAAGAATGGCATGCTGGGCATGCCCACCTTTCCTGCCTTGCAGCAATCCTTCAGTAATGGGCAATGCAGGACACTGTAGACCTTCCCACTAGGGAAAAGATCAGTAATTGGCTACAAAACATGTCACAATTCTTGTTGTCTAAATCTAAGGTGCTTTTAAAAATGAACAACAGAATCTGCAATTTGATCAGTGCAGCAGCAAGAAAAATAAACCACTGAAAACCCATTAATCAATTCAGTCTTTTCTTTTCCCTCGCATCTTGCACTGCAGCTCAGTATTACTTCATCTGGTAAAGCCTAAGGCATGGCCTTTCAGATTGTTTCAGACTTCAGGTACACAGCTAGCACAGACTCCCACCATAAAGCTCCTTGTACATGATTAAAAAGTTAGTTGACCAGATGCTCAAAACAAGGTGTAATGGGTTTGTCAGCTTCATTTGGGTATGGCTATCATGTCTTGTCGCCTGAAGGAGTGCCATGATTGAAGTTAATCTTGAGCACATGGAGGGGGAGAGGAGGTGCGGATTTCTGCTGGTCTGAAAAAATGATGACTTTAATGGAAAAGAGTTCCTTCAAGTAGTTTAGCCATTTCTGCCTACTGTTTAATCTGAAATGCTCTTACTCCCTCAGAATAAAAAAATTAGCGGTCATTAATAGAGAGTGATCTCATTATGCTTGATAGCTCCCAATGCATTTTTCTTCCAGTGCTTTGTCCAAGCACTTTTGATATGTTATAATATTTGAGCATCCACAGTACTCTATGGTAGAAGTTCCACAATTAATGCGCTTAAATTCTCATTTCCAGTCTGCCTTTGTTGCCTATGTTTTATTTGCTTGTGCTGACATCATCTTTCAGAGAGAACACCTCTTCCTTCCTGATGTTTATGTGAATCCTAACTACCTCAATAAACTAAATTTTATGGCAGAATACTGAAAGTGTTTCCGCAATGCTCAAATCAGTGCTGAATTGAGATATCCACGACAGTTTAATGTGCTATTTGAGTGCCAAAAGCAGCAGAGCAGCCTCCCTTGGCTCAGGAGGGTAAATTAACCTGAATGAAGAATGACAACGACAGAATATTTCTATGCAACAGCATATAGTACTTTAAAACCGTATGAAGAAAGAGTGATCATATGGAGGAAAATCTCTGAAAGACTGCTATGCTGGAATCAAGTGACAGCATTGATTTTTTATTCACATTTACATGGAAATGCACTTTCATACCATCCACTGGAATTGATGCCAATGTTGTAGCAGCTCTGTATTAAGAAATCCTGCTTGCCACATGTGGTTGATCAAACCAATCCAGTACACAGAACAGATATGAGCTGTCACATTGCATGGCAGTCCAGCATTATGCTATTAGGATCAACTTTTCCCATAAAGAATGTGCCAAGTGCACATCTACATAAGAAAAGCAACTTCAAACACGCACTGATCACATGGCCCAATATGCCAGATGATTCATCTCATCATGTCACCTGAAGCACATGCAAAACTGGCAGAGAGTGTAAAGAGCTTCAAATTATTTCAACACTTTTTTAGTCCAAAAAAAGAGAGTAGAAAACTCCAGAAACTATTCTTGAACAAGATTTTCCACAGGAAGGGGTGGGTATATTTTGTTAACCACTATTAGCACACTGGGATGGCTGCTGTTTATAAGCTGCTGTCTTCTCTTCATTCATCCTGGCAACCAGACCAATTAGAACTCAGTATTCTGACTGAAAGAAAATAAACTGTCCTCACAGTAACAACAGAGTTAAGGTGCAAATTAGCTGGCACTAGAGGTAAATATTCTAGACAAAATTTAAGATGAATTCCACATTTCTGAAATACCAAGGGAAATTTATGTTAAAAATTATAAATTTCAAATATTAAACTTCTTCGTGTGTGCAGAAGTGCAGGGAATATTTTCTGACATTTGTGCTTTTTTGTGCTTGCCTACAGTGAAAAGTACAAAGATTTGTCTGTGTGCTGGGGAACAAACAAAAGGGATGCAGAGGAAAGCAGAGCTGTGCTGTGAATTCTACAAAGATTGTTATTTTATACAAAGACATACATTTTGGCATCCCATATCAGCTTGTCCCCTCGGAAACTTTTCATAGAAGGCAGTAATAATTCATTGAGGCACTCATTCAGTCATTCACTTCAGAAGTCCCACTGAGTACCACATATCTACAGACTGTTATGAATACATACAAGACTGAAAATACAACCAAGTTATGTAACAAAGAAATCATACAGGAGTTGTTCTGGATGATAATAATAGTAGTGCTAAAATTGCTCAAGGAAAAGAACACGATTCAGTATAAATCTAAAGAAATAAACTCTTGTTATCAACATGATCAAAAAGGTTGACAGAACTATAAAACATTATTTTATTATTCCTCCATGAGTTTCTCCATCTGGCTAGAAACTACAAAGAAAACACATAGAAACTGTGACACAATCACATTCTGATTTATCCTATGTAATCTCCATCTCCATAGACAGTAGTAAATGTCTATTGGTAATATATGTTTTCAAGGGCAGAAAGATTCTGAGCTAATAGATCTAAATTGGGAAAAACGTTTGCAAACCAAAATATATTTGGAAATTTGCCATGGAGTAGAGCCTGATGAAGTTCCCACTGATATGCTCACTTTAAATAAAAATCACAAGCATAACTTATTTGCATTCAGCAACTGTCTAAGTATTAGGAAATGCAAGGTTTGAAGCGACTTCTCTGTTTATTAGAATTTACTTGGATGTTACTAGCACAGGACTAATCAAATTTATGTGGTAGGTTTAATTAGTATCCTTGGACTTAAACCTAAATTTTAGTAGGATTAATTAAATCCCTGGGATTTGATTTTTAAGGTCACACACACTTTTCCCAGTACCTCAACAAAACAGCAAATTTCCACAAGGTAAGAGTAGCTTCAAGCAGTAACTAAAGATAGTTGAGGTGCACAGAGTTCACTGACAAGCGTTCATTAGCAGGAAAACTCATTCAGGAGCTATCTGCCTCTTGTTGAGTATGCACATATTCTACACACCTGAATTAAACATATCACTGCGATTTTCTGCCCAGGCTCACTTATATGCGTAGATAATAAAAGACGGCACCATAGTGATAATATTTTTGGGGAAAAGGAGATGTTTATATGACAGGTTTTTTAAAAACATTTTCCTGGGGAAAAAGAAAAATATACCCTGGAGCAGCTGAAATTCAAATCTGTATTTTGATTGAGGATCCCTGTTTGTATACTGTTTATAAATGGAAATCAATACCATCACAACAGCATATTTATTATGAAGATATTCAATAATGTAATTCTCCTACCACTTTAAAAGGTACTATAGAGAAAATCTATTTTCTAAATAGATAGACAAAACAATATGTTTCCCTTTCATTTTTGAAGAATGCATATCGTAAGTCTTCAAGTTTGTCAAACTAAAATCTTTAGCTGAAACCCTTTTCAAAATGTTTCTAAAACATTTGCATTGCGTGGCTTTGGATTACAAAACTGCGCAGGTGTACCAATGAGCAGACAGTGCTCAAGTTTTTTTCAAATGAATCCACATGAAAAGAACTTTTCACAGTAATGTTGGACCTCAAGATTAACTCACTTGACTTTTGTTTTCCATCCATTTCACCAAAGTGTTTGTTTTGCCTATTAGGAAAGATTTAAACATGCCAACAACGCTACATACAATACAACATTGAGACTACTGGACGAGCTGAGTAATAAAAGGAAAATGAGATTTACAGTAGTTGCACCATTTACTTTTGTTATGAAACAAAGAGGTATTACCATGCTACATGCTGTAAACTCAGATGTTCAGAGATTGCTGGGCATTCCCCAAGCTGTGCACCTCCACCAGAAAACTGTAATTTCAATTCTCATTTACATCTCCCATGATTGTATAGAGTAACATTGCACAGACTGGTATGAATATCTGCTCCTGCTGAGAGTGTGACTACAGTATCAATTAAAAAGGATGATTCTGACAAAAATAACAGAGTAAACCTACAGAAGACTTCATGTTATAAACCCATTGACCAGAAATGAAAAATATGAAAACCAAGATTTCCTGAATATGTGAGCAAACCTAAATTTCCTATACCTGTTGGGAAACAGTTGATCAACCTGACAGAAATCAGAAATAAACTCATGCCTCTGCCTACTAGTCATATACAACAATAAGGCATGAAAGCAGCACTTACAGCTAGAGAATATCAGAGGACATGAGTGTTCATCCATTGGGAAGTTGTGCAGCTGCAGCTGGCACTCAGCATTGATGGTAAGCCTGTGAAGAAACCGAATGTCTGTTACTACGTGCCAGTACAATGAACAGTCAGAGGAGGAGGCTGGGAAACCTTAAGTATCATTCAAGAATCTTTTGACATCCATAAGTAAGGCCTGAAAAGAAAGAACTATATTTGCAGACTGTTTGTTTGCTATTTAAGCCTGATCCAAAGCAATGATAACTACCTAAAATAATTTCAGACACATCATCAAGAGTTTCTTGATCCCAAGAAATCTGTGCATATATTTTTCTCTAGACAATTCATCATCAAAGGACCTGGGATGGAAACAACTATTCTTTACAAAAAAACCCCAGGAAATATGGCTGATGTGATGATGTGTAATTCCACAAAATTAAAACCTCATAAACAATCTTATAAGAAATACTCTCCACATATAGTGTGAACTTAAAATTCTTTCAGTCTCTTTCAGCTGTCTCTCAACATATCTCTACATGCCATTCTATATTGTACAGATGCAACAAACAGATCAGCAGAAACATCTTTAGTCCTGCTTGAAAGCTTGTTTTACATGGCATCCCTAACACAAAGGATACTATGAATGGAGCTAATTTTAAAATTACTAATAAAAATTAATAACCTTCAGTCTGATAGTTTACAAGGTGAATGTATTTACCCAGGGAGATAGAATTCAGTGATGATTATTACACAATCTTTTTCAGGAAACACTACATAATTGCATGCTGGAATTTGTACAGCAAGTATGGGTCGTGGGTTTTTCCTTTTGGAAACTAAACAAAAAGCTAAGAGACTGGATGGGGAAAGGTTTGTGTCTCAGATTTAGGATAGCGTAGAGACCTTTTCCTGTCCTGGAAAAGGTCACCTGTGAGGAATTTAATAGTGTTATTGTGCTGACAGTAGAAGAGGACTTTCAGTGCTGCAGTTGGAGGGCATTCACATCCGGGAGTGGGCAGGGAAGAGGAAGGAAAGGTCTGGACCTTGATTGAATCTTGTACTTTCTTTGGAACACATAGCACCCATCAACACCTGACAGTACCAGGGCACACAGTAGTTACCTCTTCTGTGTCATACCAATTCTGACACTTAGGTCAGATAAACTGGTTTTGATTTACACAGTGTTAACAATGGCCAATGATCATTCTAACATTTTTTCTTGTGTAGAAAGGAGGTTTACCTGAGGGGTCAAAAAGTACTCAAAATACTTTTTACAAACTAAAAATGCTCATTCCAGTGGGTCAAGTATTACCTCTCTTTAGATATTAAATACAAAATTTTCAGTCCATTCACCAAATAATTTCTTTAGTGATAGGTATGTAAGTCTAACTGCTATTAGACAGATACTTAACTTGCCCTGAAATACTGAAACAGGACTTAAAAGAAAAAAACCAACAAGAACACTTAACCAAAAACCCCTCAAAAAAACCCCCAACAATCCAACCAAGAGGGTATTGGAGTTGACATTGTAATCACAAAGTCTAAAGCTTGCTAAAGGCAACTGAAATAAGTAAGAACACCTCACAGCGGAGCAAGCCTAAGATGGGAAGGACACTAAAAATATCAGTAGCTTTTCCAGCTGTTTATTTCCTTCCTTACTGTTTGCCAAAGACTTTCTATTGGAGCCCAACTGCTATTACAATTATGATAGGAATATGCTGTTGCACTAAGAGGGCTGAACACAATCACTGAAGAAAATGTAGCGTGAAAGGGATATTTTTGAAACTGGTTATTGGAACATGGCCTTATGGCACAACTCCTTTCTGAACAACTCATCTCTTCCATAAGTAAACATGTGTTTTGACTTCCACAGGGGTTTTTTAATGCAGATATATCATATACTCCATATCTAAATACTGTATATATATACTGCATTTCTAACATCATATAATTTATTTCTAATATCATAGTTGGTGGTATCCCAAAGACTAAAAAAAACTCTAAAAACCTTTTCTCTAGCAAGTGATGAGATGTAATAGACTGCCTTTCAGCATGGCTTACTCAAAGAGTCAAATATCGGCATGAATTTACAATATCAGCATGAATCTAGAAATGCTTTTTCCAGCCCTGGTTTTATGGGACTACATTTTATTACAAGCACTAAAAAAACCCAACTTCTACAATTTAGACATTCCTATTTCTAATTCTTTCTTAGTAAGACAAGACTTTGTTTTTAAAGCTGGCGGTACTTATGTCTGAATATTAAAATATTTGCACAACATGGTCAGGTAAGGATCAGGAAGAAAACAACTGAGGAGAACACAGATACTGCTAAAAATTACTATTGCTACACCAGAAGTGGGAGAAGCTTTGAGCCCTGCACCTTGCCAAGTGCTCACCTGAGAGTGTACAAGATCTTGCCATCATTCCATATGCGGAGGAGCTGGTTAGGGGTGGTGATCCAGTGAGCCTCTGCTGTCTTCGAGTTACGAAATATCGTGTCTGGGATCCAGATCAAGCCAACCATGTTGCTGTTCAGAGTCAGTATTTTCATGGTGCTGTTGAAGCGAAGACGGCTATCTGTCCACGTCTGGGCAAAAAATACATCAATTTGATATTCCTGCAAAGAAAGTATGACACACAAATTGAAAACAGTTCCATACTTCCCACTGTTGCTTGGTATTTGATTAGGTCTGTTTTGGTGTAGAGCCACGGGATACATTCTCGCCAATGGAGCTCTGCTTTCTTTTTGTTTTGCTGCCAGAGGAAATTTTCCTTTTCCTCTATTTTTCCCCTTTCCCTCCCCACCTTTTTTCAGCTCTACCTGCTTTATGAAACAGGCCAAACATCTCACTTGCATGGTCCTATGCAACAACAGTTTCTGCACATGCATTTTTTTTTTCCATTGTATCTAAAAATTCACAGCTACAAGGTACAATTTGCAGACTTTGTCATAGGACAGACTGACAACAGAGATGTAAAAGATGAACATGATCAACACATATAAGCTAGAGAATGGTAAATTTCCCTGATTATGCCTTTTAGGGGGGAGGTTGTATAAATTCAATAAATTATTTGTTCTGTTTGCTAGCAATTGTCCAGACAGTTTTTCAGGTTACACTTCAGCAGAATGAAAAGGCATGTTAGTGCTCCTTTACAGACACCTCATGTACCCCTAAAGCTAGGGGTGGAATAATTGGCCTGAACAGGCTAATACCATAATTTACATGAAATTTACCCTTTCTTTCACTTAATGTAATGTTTACTACTGTGTTTTTGTAGGTAAGCCGTGATAGTAGGTATAAATCCAGAAATTAAAATACACATGAACAAACAGACAAAGTTGCATAGGTGAACATATTAAACATGCTGATTTATGCATTTAATACCCCATAGAAGAAACTGTATTTTAATTTTGTATTTGAATTGTGAATTCCAGCCACCAGAGGCTGAGAAAGGCCATGTTACATTTGTTTATGTTCCTCTTCCTCTTTTCAGTCCCTGTAGAAACAGACATATGACTCTGTCACGCAATACCCTCTCAGTATCACAGGTGTGGCTGCATCCATAACAGGGATGGTGTTTGGTGATGTGACAAAAAGTGTATGCTCTACAACACAGGTCATTACAGGAGCTAGGAATAATCCAAAAGAAAACAACTCATTAGGACCCCTGGTAGATAAACTCTTGCTATATCTGAACAAAGGAGAATTAAGGCTATGTGGAAAGTCCAGTGTCTCTTTGACCATTCTGAACTTGGTTTTATTGCTTTTTTCTTTGCCTATTCTTAAGTTTTAACATAACAGTATTGTATTTTTAGTATTTCTATAGTAAGTAAAGGTTGCAGTCTGAACTGAGAACAGTGTTTTTGCTGACAGCCACTGGTTTCTCCCACGCTATTACATTTTTGTCAGCCTTCCAAAGGTGATGTTATAACACCAGGAAACCTAATTCACTGGCACTTAAATCCAAGTCCAAAACACACTTTGGGCCTCTCTTCTCTAGTAGGTAAATGATCAGAAGGTGTTAGCATGTATCCAAATACCAGCAGTAGATTACCTCAGGAATTAAAGCCTAGCCACCAAAAGCATTAAGGACCATTTTCCTTTATAGCTTATCTCACTACCATTTTTCATTGTATGATTAGCTTTATTTTCTCAGGGAAGATGACAGATTTGAATCTGTAGAGACTTTCATATTGATGACATCTTCACACATCTGAAGCATGCAATGTTATGTACAACAGTGTACCTTTATTATTCAAAAAGAACAACCTTAGTTCACCACATTTTCGATGGCAGATCTTGTTTCTTTACAATCAACTCCATTTTAGTCTCTGGAAGTGTAGTGAAATTGTTTGCTACATTCAGCTTCCATAGAGAGGAATATGCCAGACATGTCTATGGGTTTCTCCAAATGCTGAGAGAGTAGAGTTGCTTTTTTTAGCTCACATGTGAGAATCTGTATTTTTAGAATCAAAGACCATTTGTATACAGCTGGCTAATGACAGTTCTGTCTTTTCACAGGACAAGTTTTTGTGTGATATTCATATTTGAGCTTATTTTATATGAATGCTTCATTTTGACTAAATTTAGAAGTAACCATAGTTCCTTCCTAGTTTATCATACATACTTAATGATTTTTAGGATTCGAGATATTCTGGATTTCTAACCCACCAAAAGAAAATAAAGACTTTGAGCTCCTTAACACATTGTCCTGAGAAGGTACTGCAGCTAGATCTGAGCAAAGTGGGCCCTGGGAGCAGTATAAATGTAACACTGTGGTTTCTATTCTGGTAAATTACTTTGGCTGAGAAACAGATTACATTAGTCTGGAAGCAGGGTCATGTTAATACCACTGCCCATCTCCCGTTTTTTATCTTCTTATTACTGCAACAAGAATGTGCCAGCAATGATCATTATTCAAAATATCTCTGCAGTGGAACACTGTAACTTCATTCACCTTAATAAAAGCACTTCAACTCAAATTAAATGGTTCACAGGTCTTTTGAATTAATTAGTTCTGTAAAAAACTCAATTTTTCCTTTTGTAAACTGAGGTCAGAGAAATCAAAGCAACATTTTAAAAAGCCAAGTCAAACTGTTGGTTGCAATTAGTTGCGCTGACTTTTCAAACACTTTATTCTTTTTTTTTTTAAATTAAAAGTGTTTACAATGCTGTCAGAATGTACAATCTACAAAAAAATATTCCCAGTAAAAATAGACATTTCCATATAATATCTGAATTCCAGTTCTCTCCATTAATGTTTTTTAGAAGTCAATGTTACATCAGTACATACTTTACATTAATCTTTCGAATTTCTTCGGCCTTTAACCAAGAAGATAACAGGTATGATATTTATGTATTCACTCTACTATGAAGGGACAGAGGTCATTTTCGAAATTGGCACTCAGTTCTTCTCTTCTAATGGTTTTAACCCTTTGCGTATTTCAGGAAAATTACCTCTATCTTCCCTGACAACAGATACTCCATTCTCAGTGAAGTCAACAGCTTCCATATATTGCTTTGCACAGAGTTGGTACAGTGATCTCCAACACACAGCATCCAATAAGAAACTGCCAGAAGAAGGGTTTCTGTGTTGGTTTTATATACAGGTCAATATAATGTAAGATAAGAAAAGAATGCTCTTCATTTGCTAGCTAATATCTGCCATTTTAAATAGTTATGAATTGTAATGACTCCACTTAGAGTTCAGACAGGACATCAGGTTTCAGTGATGTGACACCTCAAATGAAGGTATCGTGCAACTCATACAATATCCTTCATGTTCTGTTCTACCACTGCATCAGAAGTGTTGTTAATATTCTTCTGATTCTTTATTTTCATTTTTAATTTGATTTTTTTGGCAGCAACCACTGACTACTACAATGAACAGAGAAAGAAGTCAAAACCAGCAAAATTTTCAACAAGACTTCTTCACAGCAGCAGAAAAGTAAAACTGTGTTCTCCATGGAACGCCAAGGTCATATACAGCAAATTGTTCTCTTACTAAGTTGTCTTGTCTTAATGGTACCTGGTTTGCCATAATAGCAAAACAAACTCAAGACTTCTCCTGCTTATACCACATATTCGCACTTTGCCTCAACACATTAACTGAAGCTATACTCCAGAGCAGCCAAACTTTCAAAAGGCATTCTCCTTAAGAAGGGACAACCTTAACAGAAGAAATAGGTCTACATGTTAACATGAGGGGAAATTCTAGGGAAATCTTATTTCCTTTAGTATATATGCATATTTCTGAAACATTATTAAATTTCACTGATGGGAAATTAATTATAAACTTGAAAGGATTGATAGAAATATAATTTATTATCAGTTGTAATGGATTTCATTTTGTTTGGCTTCAGAAGTAAAGTCATGAACCACACTACATGTTAAATTTCCCAGTCTTAGAAACTTCACTGAAATGAAAACTGCTTGAGAAATCCACAATCTGTCCAAATTTGATTATACATGGATTTTTTTAATTATAAAAGAAACAAATTTAAGAAACTGAGAAAGCAGAAATGTGAAGCTAAAATACGATTTTTTTTTCCTGGTTGAAGACTCCTGACATATACAAGTACTCAGCTGAACCTCTAACCACACAATATTACACCTTTTAAGAAATTTTAAATTAACAATAATTTTTACTCTTTCTGGAAAGAGTACATTAAAACTATCAGTTTATTTGTATTTTGTTTGATCATATGAAATTATAAAGCCTCATTTCTGGCAGCTAATGTGTATCTCTGTGTGAAATGCCTTTGTTTTCTTTTTTACCCTCTGACAATGAATAGTTTATTACCAAGAATTTGTCATCAGTTCTTTTTTGCAAATTACCCTTAACTGAATGCTTTATCTTACACATCACGGAAAAAGACAGATTGTTCTATCTGCAAGCCTTCTACTTGCAAGAAACACTCAGTGAAACCTGAAAATTATATCTGACATTGTGTAACTGAAAACCTCTTTATCACCTTCTATGAGGCTATCTTTGAAAATGGCATTTTAAATTTGGGACCTGACAGCATTCACAACTTCCAAAAGAAATCCCTAGAACCAAGAAACAGGTTATGATCCTTTCACAGTATAGTATGCAAGTAATTGTCTCATGTAGAATATTTCTTCCCATTCAAATTTTATAAGTTCTCCTTTAAATCTGAAACATTTACTGAGAAAAACGACTGAATGAGACATGGAAAGCTAGATGGTATTTTTCTGTTATGTGGTTATGTACAGAGCAAGAAGCTAAAGACAACTTTTCTTTCCTACTTCCCATGATTTGTGGACGGGGGACACAACCCAGATTTAGCAACAAAATTACCTGCAAATAACTGTATATAGTCAAGGTTCCAACTACTTGATTTTAGCTTTTTTTATATATATATTCAGATTTTCATAATGTGGTTTCATTAGTGCCTTGAAAATAACCAAGTCAGCAGTGAACTGCTTGCCCTTCACCTGTGTAGGAATGATAATGATTGGGAACACCTTGAAAGTGCCATTGTTTGAGGCATTTGTAGTCACAGAGAAAAATACATGGTTTTCAACCAACTCTTTCATTGTTTAATCAGTCAAAAGAGCTGCCAATCTGCTGTTGAAAATAAATGAAGCTTTT